TTTGTCAACTTTGTTCTTCACTTATATTGAATATGGTTTGATATTGGTCTCGCGATTGATATTAGATAATTGTTCAGAAAATTTACTTTTTAATTTAAACTTGATAACATTGGATATTCAGTTGAAACTACCCACTTAAACTGTTTATAAGGTTTGAAAGTTGTAGGTTCTATCACTAGATTAGTAATTCTGATATGCTTTGTAAAAAGAAGAAAATAGCAGCCCACTGCATTGAATCGTCAATATTTTTTTAACACTAGACGCCTTTAGAATTTCGACTAGATTATGTTTAAATTCGATTCCACTATCATAATAATGAATACTTAAAACAATGGGCAGATTTGTATGATTTTGTTATACCGAATATATTTTTAAATTGATAAATTGACATTGAAAATCAAAACATCTGGTATTTACTCAGTTGGTATTGATGAAAAGATTTTACTCTCCGTTTGCCAGGTCCGTCCTTTTTCTCTTAAAAACATACACACACACACAGACTAATGCAACACACAGTGATATATATAATGAGAATACATTTCATTGAAACATACACATACAAACAATTGAATCTGTTAGAATGCTTTATTGAGGCATGCCTAATTGACTTATTCATTTTGTTTTCCACTTTTTTTAACTAATGAAATTTATAACCGTTTACCATTTGACTGATTTATTTGAAAAATGTTAATCCTACTGGAAAATATACGACCCATAATTGCAAGACTAAATGAATATGCTGAATATTGTTTTCAATGATATGCTGGATATTTTTATTTCGTTAATATTCTTATAATTATGATAATCATTGAATGGAAAACTTTTATTTATCATTCATGTAACGATCTACAATTACTATTCATCAGCTAGTAAACATTGTAAGTTCAGTAGAACTAAGGAACGTGAGATACGTTTTGAAATGACTTCTAATTATCGTAGACATTAATATTTTACATTCAAATCATGAATCAATCATTTTTATGCCACCATTAGAAACCTTAAAGCACCGGATGGCCATCTTGTTCTGGTTCGGGATTCATCAGCAGTGCACATCCACGACTCCTGCCACCCGTGACCTTCGGTCTTGAGCGCGAACGCTTACCCTACATACCACTGAGCCATCTAATGGAGTTACTGTCTAACTTTGATCATTTTAAGATATTGCGCAACCTCAACCATTGTATTTGATAGTTGCTGCCTACAGCCCATAGGGCTAATCTTCCCTGATCACAGCTTCTCACTAGAAGTCATGTTTCTAATGCTAATATAACGATGATTGATTTATGATTTTAATGTAATTCAACGACCCCCATAATTTTATAGTAAGAATACAACAATATTTAGTGAAATTAATTACAATCAAGTTGCCTATTATACCAGAAATTATCAAGCGCTGATTTAGTTTTATCTGTAAGGTTTAAAAATTATCAGAAATATTATTGTAAATCATTTCCTATTAAGAACTTCCTAGCATTTAGTGTTACATAGAAATAAAATAATTTGAATTCTTTAATCAGGTTATAAATATTCATTAAGTTACTGAGCAGAGTCCATTTTTAACAAAAAACAGTTATTCGAGGTACATTTATTTCTATCTCCAACAAAATACCTGTTTATCATATAATCGATTTGAAAATTTTGTTTATAATGTTTATTTATGGTAGTCTGCATCGTAACCGAAACTGACCCATGAACTGCATAAGTCAAGTTTCATTTTGTTTGTGTTAAATACTGCCGCTATAAACACTAGGTATAATTATGCGGTTTTAAGCTAACTGTTCAGGACTTAGGATATAACTGAGAAAGAACATTCAGACTTGTGGCGGCGTTTGTTATCAATGAGATAGGAAAGAATAACGCAATCAATACACTCGGGATAATGTCACTTGAGCAAAGTTTATTATTATTATTATTATTATTATTATTATTATTATTTTCATCTTCATCACAATAACAATACAATATTGCATCTTTTGAAACTGAAGTATTTGTACAGCTTTCATTATTTATATACTGGTTTTTTTTCAAAACTCTAGTCTAATAAATATGACTGTTTACACTTGATCGATCACTCAGACTAGTACCCGTGTTTGAATAATAGAATTCGGTCATCAATAAAGAGTTACATACCTATGACATAAGTCATCCCAGTGATCAGTCAGTTGTAAATATCTACTAGTTCTATTAGAGGTCAACAAGAACTTGAATAGCTCTTAGGTAACGTATCAGACGGTGAATTTGGACGATACAATATTAAATCCGTCTGGAAAAAAAACACTAATTTGCTCTACAATAACTTACACACTATAATCATAATTGTAAAAATAGCATGGAATCTGCGTGAACTAGTTCTTGTTGACTACCTACAAACTCTTAACATCTCGATTAGATTTTGTATTTTAGGAAATATAATATTTTAAAGTTTGAGAAAATTTACACAAGAAATAACTAAGGCATATTTATTTACATAAAATCTTAAAATCGAAGGCAAGAAACACATAATTATTTATGTGTATACATAGTGGATATGAAAAAGTTTTTTTTGAATTTGAACAGTAAGAAAAATAATTAAAGACTATTATCCTACTGAAATTTATTCATACCATACAGTTTTTTTAAATATTTCAATAGTTGACTAAATTTTGAAGAATACTAAATACATAGAATTAACATGACTGTTTTATAGATTTTATATAGTAATTTTCTCACTTGAATACCCTTACGATTATATTTTTCAATGATAGAACTAATGCACATCTCACTAGATTCTTCTTTTCTTCTATACTTTACTTCACCCAACCCAATAAGATTAGTTTTTTATTCTTCAAATGAACACATGAACTAACTCATTGAAATGTTAATGATTTTTTGACTAAATATAAGAAGATTGTAACTATTTTAATTACGCAAATAAACACACGCAATTGCATCTAGGTAATTTTTTCGAGTTTCAGAAAAAAAAAATTGTGAAATGATCAGTCTGTATGGATGAATGAAGGATTCAAACACTCACCATCATACTTCATTCAATTATACTTGAGTTTTGAGTTTTATTAAAAATCATCAAAAGATGTTCAGTTACAGGTAACATTAAATCATTATTAGAAGTTCATAAAATAAATTTCGAGAACAGAAATATTTGATCGTAAGAACCTGTCTAACAATTATTAGTTATTTCACTTTTTTGATTACAAATGAAAGATTTCAAAATTTAGTTGAATAACTAAAACACCAGCTGATCATACCTTCTCGAAATAAGACATACATTTATTTTATTGTTAATTAACAATAAGTATAGTTAATTTTTAATTGATAACTACTGTTTGACTTTATTAAAGTTAAACTAGATTTCAGCTGAGAAAGAAATTAAGGAAAAAGTTCTGGAGGTAGATAAGATCTAACTGTGTCACAAGGCAACTCCTAACATGGAACCCTCATTGTTAAAGGGAAAACGGTAGAACGTTGCGTCCAGACTTGGAGACAGACAAGAAAATAATGAATAACACCGGAAGACAACTGGAAAGGAGACTTGAGGACAGATTTGGTTGAACACTGTTGGTCTGCGACCTAGGCTCTGTCGGGGGTAATAGGTGTAAGTAAATAGGGTAGTCTATTTATCCAAGTTTGACCTATTATTGATAAACTTTTTGTAATCGTATTTTACTTTTCTTACTACTATCAGTACACCTGTCTTCCTACTATCAATGTTTGCCTACCATGTGTAGAGACGTAATCTATTTCATTTCATTGTGATTATTGACTGAAATAAGTAAGTTTGCACTTAACGATTGAATAAGTTTATTTAAAAGAACCCAAACACAAACTATTTTGATATCACTTAACTAATACTCTTAAATTAATAGCTCAGACATAGTATTTGACTCCAGTAAATTTTGTATTACTTAAACTCACAAGTCATTATTATTTTATTTCATTACAATATAATATAAATCTAGCAGAGATTTATTTTAATTCATATTCTTTTACTAAATATCAACATTGATTGATTTATGTGAAATTCTTCTTGTGTTTTTATAATCATTCTACGCTACACGTAGAAAACACGAATAGATGTTAAATGATTTAAGGAAGAAAAAAAACATTACACTGTATCTCTTACATAATAATCTATCAGTCGATGGAATATCTTCTTCTTAGTTGCTCAACTGCAGGGGAAAAATATCCAGAATATGATTTTTTTTTTTAAAAAAAAGCTAATCATTTAAATGATTTAGAGCATTAAGTAGGTGGATATCAAGTTAAAGGCATAAAACTTTTTTTTTTAATTTAAGTCATTCACCTAGGAATAAATATCAATGAGGTTGTGTTAAAAGTTATCTATGCTAATCTTCTATAGATGAAAAAGAAAATCAAACGACTGCCAATCAAAATTGCACTGAATAATAATAAATAATAAATTACAAGATGATATTAGTGATTTCTATTAAAAATGAATGAATGATGAACATTAGTTAATCATAAGGATATAGTCGGCGCTTTATTTTAGTGAATAAACAAATTTGAAAAGAAAAGAGTTAGTTTTAATATAATCATAAATTGATCAATAATGGCCCACTATTAAAATCCTAAAAGCACTGGATGGCCGTTTCGTCCTAGTATGGGACTGCTTGGAAGTGCGCATTCATGACTTCCTACATGCTGGAATCAAACCATCACCTTCGGTCTCCTTTAACCTTTTGACTACTGAGTCGGCGTCCAAAAGCCACCTCGTTCATTGTCTTTCATGAATAATTGCCTTATACACGACAAGGCTGGATTTCTCTGATCATTGCTTCTCACTACAACTACGAGAATTTCCTAGTAAAGTTAGTAACTAGCTATCATTATAAGTCTAATGAGATTGCTTGGTTTCATTGAAATCATAAATCTACTCACGCATCATTTATAATTACAACTTCCACAGTAATATAAAACAAAATGGAGCTAAAAAATTGTTTTCAAAGTATTAAACATCAAAGAAATCCAATCGTCACATTTACCTTTGCTAGAATTGTCTTCTTGAGAAAATTGTTCACCGTCACAGTTATTTGGTATGAATGTAGCACATTTTTTGTGTACCCATAACTTGCAGTCTTTTTTTGTAAAAAGAATATATAAATATCAGTGTTAGTCTATTTATAAGCGATGAAATCTGTAGCCAGTAAAACTTTCAGAATCAAATGCAAAAAGCATCATGTTTAGAAAATAACTGTTTCAAACTAAGATTTAAAAAAGCTTAAGATAAAAATATCATTAAAGTACAAGTAACTTTATGAATGTTACGCTAATTATTGAATAATATACATTTTTTAATGTAAGATGGTTCGAAATAGTCAACAACAGTCAACTCTGTATCTACGTTTCACACAGGCTAACACATGTAATCATGTAATCTCAAAGCGATTGATGCTACATGGTAGGATCAAAAATGAGTCAACGAATTCCACGATTCGACTGATTTCACGTGGGTTTGGAAACTTCATACTGACACACAAATGCATATCGGCCAGTGCTCATCTTACTACCACTACTATGGTTATTACTGACATTAATAATACTAGTAATACTAATAGTTTTAATCATATTTACCAACCATGGTTCAATGACTAAATCTTGTAAAAACTGACATTATGCAAACATAAACTTTGTTTTTCAACTGGAGTTCAAGAAGAAATTCTTGAAGATCCTACATCCCTACGCAATAATTTAGGTGAGAGATGACACTGGAAATACTGCATTATATCGGTTCAAAGGTTATAATAATCAGACAACTAATTGAAAGGTGACTGCCACAAAAACAATGATAATTAGAGCATTTGCATTGCACCAAGTCATAGAATTGACACTGTCTTGTAAAATACCATAAATAATGTGGTGACTACTTATCATACTTTCTTATCTCTTGCAAATCTTGTCTTCTCCCTTCTTACTTGTATGCAAATGTCCTCTTTAAAGTGTTTTTGTGTATTATTATTCTGGTGAAATTAGATTCACTGTCGTACAAGAAGTATCTCCTGTGTTCGTATTTATGACTTCAAATTTCTGTATATTGTAACGAAGTGATACGTTTACGTTAGCTGAACACATTGTGATGTTTTGTGAGTTATGAGGATTATGAGTACGAAAGTGTGTAGAATAATGGATGTTTAAGTTTTTTTAGAATTACAAACTTGGATGAAATATTCTATCGACATTTGGATTTTAGCATAAATAATGTTCATCAAATTATCACATTACCAGTGTGATATCGAAATAATTCAGTTCGTGTATAAAAATGTCTAACGAATTAACCTTATTCTTCCGTTCAAATATTGTTTATTTTTTTTCTTACATCAACATGCTTCTTAACAAATATTTGTTTTCTATTCATAGATAATCTGGATAACATACCTTTACATTGTAAACCTTGCCGAAATAATCCATGTAATAAACGATGACAATTTTGACAAACAATAGGCTTAGCACTTCGTCTTAATTCAAATGTATGCGGAACTTCAATAGGTTTTTCAATTACTTGTTGACTCCATAATGGTTTACCTAGTAGTAGACTACTTTTTCGAAGAGGTGATGTATTAATTGGTTGAATATGACCAATTTTAACAATTGACTTATATCGTTGGATAGTTGCACTGCTAAAAATAAAAAAAGTGCAAAAAAACATTTCTTTTTTAATGCGAAATGTATACTAGTTTTAAACTTTTTTAGATCAAATCAAATGAAATGTCGTGTAAAACATTTTTAATGGAAGAACAACTGAATTGATCAAAGTCATACCGGCTCAGTGGTCCAGAGGTTAGGCGTCCGCTTCCAAGACAGAAGGGCCTGGGTTCGAACCCTGCCAGGTGTAAAAGTCGTAGATGTGCATTGCTGATGAGTTCCGTAACAGGACGAAACGGCCATCCAGTTCTTCCAGGTTTCTAGTGGTGGTCTAGAATTGATCGACTCATGATTTCAACGAGTAACATAACACTACACAACCCTGAAATACAATTACCCGTGCTTACTAGTGACTGGCTCCGTAAGGAATCTTCTCCGAGCTCTAGTTGGAAGTCGTGAACAATGAAGTTCAATCTGTTCTGGTGTAGACAGTAACTAGCGAAGACAGTGTATGAGGTTTTGCAATTCCGTGAATTGATGGAAGTTGGACATTAACACCGTTAGCAACTGGCTTAGTGATCCAGGGGTTAGGCGTTCGAGTGCAAGACCGAAGGTGCTGGGTTCTAATCCTGCGAGTAGCAGGAGTCGTGGATATATTTAAAGAATTATATCTGTAGTGCTTAGATTGTACAAAATAGTTTCTTTGTTATCGGGCTTCATTTTTGTTTTGAAACTGTATCTTGATTGTATAAGTGAATATTCAAAGAAAGGAAATTGCAAAATCATTCAAAAATTAAATTTTCGATTAGCGCTTGAATGATATTCAGCTGTATCTAATAATTTAGTATCTAAAATTCACTGTCGCATGAAGCAAAAAGAATCCTTTTTTCTTCTGTTAAACACATGGGATAATTTCCGATAGTTCCTTTTTACAAAATACATACATATCATTTTTTCTTGCAGAAACAAATAGTTCACAATCCGCTTACTTAAAATATATAGCTAAGTAGACTATTAATGTCGACTACCTCTAACCACCATTGTACATCTCAATATAATGCACACACAATGTTCAATCATTCAGACTAGTGACCACAACGAGACATGACTGATAGGATTCTATTAGTATTATGAAAGATTTGAGAAATATGAAATTGGTCACTATTCAAAGATCAGTCAGTTGTAAATTTGATCTTAATTCGCTTCGAAAACCTTTTAATTTTTTAAAATCTCAGTTACCAAAGTGCACATTCGCTCATTGAGCTTCAAGTCATATTCTGAATTTAAGATCTAGGGATACTAATAAGTTACTCAAACCAAAGTAAGTGTATTGAAGTTAGAATCAGCTAGTTTCTCACTGAAAATTAAACTCTATTCTAACTAGGCCACTGCACCTGGAATGATATACGTTTGTGTGAGTTATCGACAAATTTTAAATATCAAATAAACTTAGAAAATTAGATTTGCTTGATGGCAATGATCATAACTTATTAATATCTCGAATATCTAATTTTGTGCGTTTTTGTTTATCATGTAATTACACGGGAAGTAGATTGTAAAGTTGAATAATCCAAGTTCACTTAACTAAAGGAAATGTTTGTAGATAAATAAATCGATAAGGAATGCAAAAACTTGCGTGTTCATGTTGTCATAGTCGATAGTCTGGTAAAATCAACCAGTTAATCATTGATATTTATGTACATTTTGATTGACGGTTAAAGTTTTAGTTTTTAGTGTAAACCTGGAGAAATTTTTTTTCTAGTGAGAATATTCATGTGAAAGAAAAATTTATTCGAAATGAGCATATTTATCAGTGAAATTTAAAATTTCCGTGAAGGTGAAGTAATCAACTCATATTAGTAGAATATAAATGAACAGGATGTATCGAAACTCATTGTGTTGTAATTAACTACTAGTTATCAGTAATTATAATCACAGAGTTCTTTAGCACGATTCAAAAATTATTAAAGTTGTTAATAAATAATGTTACATTGATAATTACAAATGGGTAAATTATCAAACAAATTTAAGTATGTAGTCAAAAAGTTGTTATTTAATGAAGTATATCAATGAAGAGTAATTAAATTGGATACAATGAACACATTTGAGATGATATATTACTTGTTCGTTTAAGCATATTTTTTTAAAATTAAAATTTATTCGACAAAATAAATTGTTGATAATTTTAAGCAAGTATCCCTTTTTTTTAAAAAAATGACTGAAGTCAATATAATTACTGGAAATCAATGTATCATAAGGAAAAAAACCTTGAGCTATCTATGACAAAAGGGGGAATTGAAAGGACTGGAACGATAAGATCAATATTTAGGTTGACAACTGATTAATCAACCGTTACTGACTGGTCACATGCATGTTAAGTTCTTCTTAATGCTGATCAAATTCTAGTCACTAATGTGAACGAATTGATATCACATGCATTCGATTGAGATAAAAGGTTGACCGTTGACTGACTACTTTCAGTCATCTTTCGTATCATTTTATTTGTCATTGACAATGTAAGCAAAAGGTTTGGATCAGTATAATTTATCTAATCAAGTTAAGTTTTAGCCACGGTTCTTAATGATTGATCAAATGAATTTGTTAAATTAATTAATTCATTCATTCATCCTACTGTATTAACATTAATACCGTTAGATACCGGCTCAGTGATCCAGAGGTTAGGCGTTTGCGTGTAAGACCGAAGGTCCTGGGTTCGAATCCTGAGAGGTGCGGTAGTCGAAGATGCGCACTGCTGATCAGTCCCATAGCAGGACGAAACGGTCGTCCAGTGCTTCCAGGTTTCTAATGACAATCTAACATTGATCGATTCATGATTTCAATGTGTAACTTAACTCTCTGATCTCTGATTATTCATACAGATGTTCTAGAATACTCCCTCTCTCTCAATCATATCGTATTTAATCACAACACTTTTGTTTAATCTCACCAGTTTTATTTGAGTCTTCGCCAGTACACCTTCATTTCCAATGAATTTTACTTATATATAAGTAAGTAAGTATACATGGTAGTATAATTTTCATCTTAAAATATTACAATTTGTAAGCTTGTGATAAGGTTGAACAGAATGTGTACTGACACCTTATAATTAGGCGTAATAAGGAAGAAAAATTAATCTATTTTTCACTAATTCAACATTCCATAAAACTGAATTATTTAGACCACTGGAATACACATTCACAAACACTATTAATAGATATCAGTACATATTGAGAACACTAAAGATTTTAGCGAATGATTATTTTCAACTGACCATTGAATGTATTTTTCAAATAAACACCAAAAATTACATACATAAAAATGAATAAGAATAATAATTTTGAAAGTAGCCTACCATCGTGATATTGTCATTAAAAAACACCACCTGATTCCAAACCCACCTACCGTATGAGAACATTTCAGCCATCATACCAACATCATTTGAAAATCATTTAGAACTAGTTTTAATACATTTTACAGTGAGTTTCATCACTGTTTATTCATGTTAACTTATAAGTGTATTGACGCTTTTCTTTCTGTTACACCTACACAATTAAGTAAATTGAGTTTTTCATAAGTTGTTTCTCAGAAATGAAAATTTCACAATTGTAGCTAGAAGTATTTGGATTTTTATTTGCAGAATTTTTCATTACAAAAAATTGCTATTTTAGGAAACATTGAATTCCTTATTAAAATATCTTTCATGAAAAAATTTTATACGAGTTAGTTTGTAGTTACTTTTGTGGTAAAAATGATTAGCATACAAAGTGATTTGCTTGACCTAAATTTAGAAATAACATTTGTTTGAATGCAATGAGCAAGTGGAGACTATTACTGTTTGTATATTTTTTTCATGAAACATTTAAAAGTCCTTGATGATGCTGATTTATTATTCGACATAATACATTACTGATATATTTGTACAAATCCATCGTGGCATTTAAGTAGCCAATTACAAAATTTGTTTACTGGTTAGAGTCTTTTTAACGAGTTAGTTCTCTACTGAATGAGGTTGCAAACTTTAAGCCCAACGCTCCTCCTTTATCCAGGCTTGAGATCGGCAGTAGCCCCAGAGGGGCTATCTTTACTTAGGCGTGTCGTTAGAAGGAAGAGACAGGAAAAGTTGAAAGTGAACGTTTAAACCAGGTTAGTAAATATTGCGAGTCTATTTAGGGTGGTTTTCGAAACGCAGATTTCAAACTACTAATTCACTGAGAAAAGAGAAACACAAGAGCCTACTATGCTCATCAACCACCATTGGATTCAGTAGTTCACATTTGTTTGTGTCTCTTGTGCATTAAATTTTGAGGTTAAAGGCTCGAGATGAGAGGCACCGAAGTAAATCACCTGTCCCAATTTTAGTCTCTGTCAAACATGCAAGTAATAGTGATTTTTAGTAAAAGTAGATGAAAGTAACAAACTGTTTGTATCAATGACGCGTTTGATATTGACTTACTGTTGTTTCATTTGTTATCAAAATGCCTGTTGCTCAAAACGTGGCACACTTTGTAATTTTTAAGCCAATTTTATCTTGAAAACTGAAAGCTACAGTTTTGCAAAAAGTCTATACACATAGTATATTCATCATAATGAAGGGGAAAAAATGAGTAAACAACTACTGTCAAGATAATCAATGAAATTACTGAATCATTTTTATCTAGTAAGTACACTTTTGTTATAACTTTAAGCTGATAAACAAGTTGTACAGATACTGACAGCCTGAATAACGTTCTCTAGTTGTCTACTGATTACACAGTTACTTCCCTCTATTGAATTAACCTTAATTTATCTCATTTTATTTTGTTTGTTAATCAATCACTAATGACTTGATTGTACTTTTTTTTCAAACCCTCGATGTATATTTAATGACAATCATAGAACAAGAATAGGTTCAATTTACTTAATGCATCAAGGCATTTATTCACTCATTTTTGGTAGGCACTGAAGTAAACTTAGATTATTTTACAATTTATTTTATTATATAAGAATTCTGAAGTTTATAAACTTATAATACTGTATGCAGTCTACAAATATCTTGAATGAAATGAAACCAGTCAAATAGAAAGATAAGGAATAAAAATAACTATGAAAAGTAATTGAATTAGTCTATTGTAAACGAATAGCTCACCTACTCCTAGAAATGATGTATATTTATTACATAAAAGGAAATTTTTCAAATTCTAAAAAGAGCTTTTTAAATTATATGTTGGAAAATTCAATAGAAAGTAAATAGTAATGACAATAATACTTTGAATATATTTAGATGCAGAAATATAGAATATCTTCAATTGACTTGAAAAAATCCAACATTAAAATAATACATGTTGACCAAAACATTTTATTGGAAGCATTTTTTTAGTGAAGTATTACTGATTTCGACGGTACCTTCGCTATTGTATGTAATAAATGACAAGTTTGTTCAGTGACTAGTTATCACACTGACTAATTTTACTCATAACTATAACCCAACATGACTTGTAAGTAGAAATGCATCCTCACTTACTATTATTTTTACCACTTATCAAAAGTAATCACTCATACACATTTTCACACGTTAACAAATTGGAAAGTTGCAGTCAAAATATAATGATTAGACGGTCATTTAGTACATAATCATCTTGTCAACTTTTTTAACATTCGATAATTATTTCCCTGACGGCTCTCCAACTAGATGGCCGAGTGAGATTTTGAATGTATTTTAAATTTCATTGAAAGAGATATTTTTAAAACTATAATTTTCTTTTGATACGTCTGATTTAATGTTATATTCACATTTCACTCAATGTATTAAAATAGCAATCATCTTCAACAATACATACACTTATGAAACAGATTAAAAAAAAATACATCTTATCAACATAACTGTTATGAATGCCCAGTGCAATAGATGATTGTATTTCAGCACTGATTTTATATTATTCGATAAAGTATTCCATAATAAAAATCTACATTATTCATAAATTTGGACAATTTTCAAAAAAATACAATAAAAATAAATTTTTTTTTCAAAATATAACTTTAAGTACAAATTAGTGAGTTAATTACCTGATAGCATGACCATTAATTTCATAACTGGATTGATCTGAAATTGTGTATTAGAAAAAAAATTTGAAAAAAAATATAAATGATACAGATGTCAATTTGATTTTGACTTAATTATTTTATAAAAATATATATAATGTACAACAAATATACACATGCAAAATGACTGCATAGTCAATGCAGTAATTTAGAACAATAAGTAAACTGAATCACATTACCTTGAAATATCGATGATTTACCTGCCTTGAGTCTATTTGCGTGAAACACTAAGTGATATTCGAGGATACATACGTTGAAGTTATTTTCACTTCATAGGGATTTGATCAACTTACAGTATTCTTTCATGATAGATAGACTAATGACATAAGATGTTATTCAACAAAAAAAATCTAACCACAGTTTGTATCATATGACATTTTGATTTAAAATCAATCAGAACTGATCCAAATGCTAAGTAGTAGTTTTATTGATATTTTTAAACAAATTTAATTTTAGATCACTGCGTCGGAATAAATAAATTATTTAGAATTCCCAAACGTCTGGCCATTTACTTAGGGAAAGTATTGATTAGTACTTTAAGGAAAAGCAAATACTTTCTCCGGTTTTATATTTAAAAATGGATATGAGACCTCTAGGTAAATGCCTAAAGTCCAAATGATTGATCTTAAACGTTTTAATTAAAAAAAAACATTGATACATAATACCATTAGCATTTGTTCAATTTGACATAAAAAGAGATAAACTTTACCTTTATAATTGTCTTGATGACCTATCTGCATCTATAAACAAACTGTATTACAGCCCTTATCATGGCTTTCAAATAATCAGACAATCATAATTCAGCAAAACCTTGTTTCTATTTACCATTCTTTCAATTAACATTTCACTCCACATACACCTTGGTTAATACATAAAGTTTTCAAACTAAGGTTTAGATTATTACGGTACTGGTATTAACTTTGAAAAGTGCTTTCAAAGAAAATCTTGTATAAAATTAATTAACTTCATCTTTCCTTCATTTCGCAAAAAAAAATGAAAAATTACTACATATTTAAGTATACGATAGATAGATTAGGATTTTGTAAACAAGGTCGCCTTTTTCTTCAAAAGGTTTTCTTGTGATGTAAGGAAAGCGTCCGAAAACGTCCTCATGATAACCCTTTTCATTGAACTAAAATCTGAAGCGTCATGATCAAAATCATTGTTAGAAATGATAACGATGATACGTTTTGGAGGAGAATGCAAACATACATTTCCGATAGCCAAAGTGAAATGAACTAATCTATTTTGGAAAATATGTATAAATAATTAACAGGGAGAATAAACTTCATTTCTGCCTTAATTTTTCGGTCTTGTTAATAAATATTGTTGAATGATTTAAATGAAATAAAATCGAAATGATCTAAAATCTCGGGACATTAATATATTAATGACTATCAGTATAAGATTAAAGAGATTGTTGGATTCCATTGAAATCATAAACTGATCAAATCAAAACAACCATTGAATACCTGGGATCATTGTACAACCGTTTTGTCCTTGTACGGGCCTCCTAGGCAGTGTGCGTCTGCTACCTGACATTTGGGAATCAAAATTTTTGGTTTCGCGAGCTAACGCTTAACCTCAAAACCATTGAGCTGGAATTCATTGAAGCAAAAGTCTGATCTCAGTCATTTAACGATAGTGAGCAAGGCATAAAATTCGATGTTTGAGTCCTAATTGTGAAGTCGTGAAGACGAACTGAAGGGATCCAATAGTTGTATGAAAAGAATTCCCGATGCTTTCAGGTTTTCAATGGTAGTTATACTTTTATTGTGATTTCAATGAAACATAAGTGATTTTTTGAAGATGTTATTTTATGTATGTAAAGTCTAATTTTTTAAAATCACAGATTATTCAATTTATTTGGAAAGTGTATTTTGTTGTTATTCAACGTTACAAGGCTAAAACCCTGAAACTGTCATGGTTATTAAAATTTTTTTCTCTGTTACCTAACTCTCCGTGAAAAAAAGTGGCATGAAAGACAACTCTGCCTTTAAAATACTGGTTCATATGATGAAGGTAAAAAGTAAAATTGTATTTCTGGTTGAAGATATCATGATGACAGCCGAATATTGAAGTTTTTACCACCAATCGATTTTAGTTGCAAAATCAAATTTAACTCGAATAGATTAGACGGATTTTTTTAAAATTTGATTTGAGATGTGTCGAACGTTGACAAAACGTCTGTCTAGTTCTTTGTGGTTATCAGTGGTTGTATAACTGAAATGAGTTCGTTGTTTAAACTATAAAAATAGTAAATATTGCATCACAGATCATTAGGACTCATTTAGAAAATTATGTGCTAACCAAAGAATATTTTTATCTGGATTTCAGAAAGTTTATTTATGTAAGATAATATCAATAAACAAAAAAGAAGAATGACAGTATACTCTTTTCCTTAAAGTTTGTGATTATTATAGCTATATAAATGTTAATATATAAGGACATTTGATCACCTTATCTGTTCCAGTATACTAAGTGGACTATATATATATATGATAGATTAATTATTATTTTATAACGAGGTTACTTTTTATCAATAAGTGTTCTTGTGGTAGAAAAGAAATATAATTCATATATTTCTAAAAGTTTCTTCTACCCATCCATTAAAAATGACCCTAAAAATGATTAGAAGTTCTAAGAATACTTAAACTTATTCACAATTGGAAAGAAATATATAGTCCGGAATAAGAGAAAGTGGAATGATTAACTTCATTTTAATCGTCAATGATCAGTATTTCCAAATTAAAGAAAGATTTCTTTAGTTGTTTAAAACAAAACTACTGATCATTTTGATGATAACTATTATTATTATTATTACTGAGTTAAAATGACTCCATATTATCTTCTTCCTTTAAGTACATGTATACTTAAATTTAGTTTCATCCTTACTGCATAAAAGTATACAAAGAATAAATAACTTTGACATTATGCTTACAGCACTTATAGCACTTACTCATTTATAAAAACAAAAATGTTCACATGAAATCAAATTAAATTTTAAGTTTAATTAGTGAATAATTAATGGGATTATTATTGTCAATATTATCGGATTAGGACCGATGAAAATAGAAGAGTTTCTTTTTTACAAAGACAGTTTTCAACTACACACTTATAATACATTAAGTTAATTTAGTTTATATTGTAGAAAACAACTTACTTTATGACAGTTTGTCATGTTGTTTTTAATGACTTGAATTAAGGTAATATGCGTTCAGATAAATTTTTTTTGTTTTTAAATAATCTTTTTTTTTATATTTTTAAAGTAAACAGTACTCAGTGTCATGATAACGAATTTCACTTTTCAGTATTTTGCACAGAAAATAAGCAATCGACATTCATCGAATGATGTTGTTTTGTATCATATATAATAAATAGATTAAGAAACTGTTTGAGTTTTGTTTGAGTACACCAACGTAATCAGTTTATTCAGACTATAATAACTGAACATTCGATGACTTAAAGTATTTTCTCTTATTTTATCATGCTGATCAAGTTGATCTCGTTTACAATATTAAGTGAATAGAAATTATATATTTAAATGAGAAGTAATCATAGTTAACGCATTGTTCAAGTATTTCTTTGTATTTTAAATGTTGAATATGAGTTTTCCTATTACAAATGTTCAAGTAGAAATTGGTTATAAGTAATTGAGTAGAAATACTGAACACATAAAACTCCCACTGTATGGTTGTGGAGACTGTTCAGTTTCATTGAAATCATGAATTGATCAATGTTAGACTATAATAAGAAACCTGGAATGACTAGATACCCGCTTCATTAAAGTATGAAACATATCAGCTGTGAGCATCCACGATTCCCACAACTCGCAGGAATCGAACCTAAGACCTCTGGTGTTGCAAGATAACGCCTAACATGAAAATAACTAAGCTAGCACCTAACGGTGTTAATATTCAACTTCGATCAATCCACGGTCTTACATGACCTCATTCATTGTTTTCGGCGGGCAATGCTTTACACCCGACAGGGTTGAACAGCACTGAAAAGAAACTTGGCCAAATTTCCTAACGAAATTGCTCACTAGTGAGCACAACCTTATTATGAAAATTGTCATGTTCTTCCTGCTGATAAGTGTTATACCAGGATGAAACGACCATCCAGTGCTCCCAAATTTCTAATAATGGTCTGAAAATGATCGATTTATAACTTCAATTCAAAATTCTCTCAGGAAGCTCAAAGTGAACTGCACAGTGAAACACTGGAGACCCTACATTTAATTTTAATCCATTAAATTTTCAGAAATTAAATAATAAAATACTGAAATATCACTGAAAACATGAAGTCATCAGACTTACTTTTCAACTTGATTAAAAGTGCTCACGCAGTTATCCACACAAGCCTTCCTTCTTTTAAACAGTTATCCGTTTATCTTAGTTTCAAGTTAGAAAATTTTTATAAACCTTTGTACTTAAGAAGAATGATATATATTTACATATATTATATTCGACCTTAAAAAAAAATATATTATCTTTTATTTTACATTTAATTGTAGTCAAGACATAAAAATATATGTTACCAGATCATAAAAAAAAATGAAATTCCGCAAGCTCTACTGACCTTTTTTTCATTATTAAAATATTTTATTTTGTTTTTATTTCCAAAAGAAAAAAAACAAAACGATAAAACAGAATGTTTTGGTAGCCTGAAATCAATTAGGCTAATTCCGAACCTATGCTTCTCTCTCTATTTAGTTTAATTAGCCTTCCCTCTCTCTCTCTCTCTCTCTCGCTTGGTGTCAGTGATATTACATGGAGCTCATTCTCTACTCTCTCATCTCTTTCATCTACTTTCTTTGCCCCAAGTCACTCTTAACATTTCAAATTAAGGTCGAATTCATAAAATACAGTTATGAAAATAAGTAAATAAAAGAAAAAAACATTAATAGATATTCGTTTTGTTGCTTGTTCTTCTTCAGTTGCCTCAACTTGTCTTTATCGATCGTGTTAGTGTTATGTTCTTCTTCTGCTTCTTGCTGTCCCGTTTTTTTTTATTCTCTCTCTCTCTCGCTGTGTGTGTGTGTGTTTTGTAATTATTTTATTATGATAGTATAATGTTGATTAAAAGTAGTTTAGTTGAAAAAAAAAACGAAACAACTGAAAATTATGAATTTAAGTAGTTGGTAATTTTTGTTTTGCATCAACACAGATAGGATAGATGAACTGTGTTTTGTTTTTTCGTTGTAATTTATCAACATTTTCAAAAAAATAAAAATTATTATTATTATCATTATTTTTATTAGTTTTCCTTAATTCAGTTTGATTAGATTTTAGGTCATTGATTGTATCTGTAATGAAAAATTAATCTGGATTATATATTTACATAAAAGAATAATATTTTTTGTTTATTTCAAAAGTGCTTTTCTTTCCATGAGTAGCCTACAAAAATCAATAATATTATTATCATGACAATCCGCTGGATTTTTTTAACAAAGAAATTGATATTCTTTTCAGTGTGAATCTGGATAGATCTTAAAGAATTCTAATCAGGAATTCTGTTTAGGAAATACAAAATGGATGGCATATACAACGCTTTAAAGGATTGTCCTACAAAATCGTAAACTGAATTATTAATAATCGATCAGTTTTTTTCGTTAGGTTTATGTACAAAACGAATAAATTGAGTAAAATATTAAGTAAAAAAAACACTGTTTATTCAGAATTCCACATTTGTGAAGATGGTAAACTTAATCGAAAACTGAATCAAAGGAAACGATGTAACACGATAATGTTAGATAATCAATAGATACTTCAAGATAATTCAATAAGTCAACAAAATACTTGAGCTGAACAAGGTTTATGTAAAACAAAATCATAAAGTTTGTATTAAGATCAATCTTATTTCAACATAGATTTGTTGAAACCCTTGAAAGTTCTACTCTACTCTCTATTGTATACGAAAATCATTTGTACTTATGCTTAGCCTACCCTGGTAATATTGATTTATTATCCAGGGTTTAATTAGTTTGTTCTTCTGTTATTTTTCAATCCATCTAATTGACTCTAATTTTTTTCATATATAAATGTGTTAACAAGTAAATGCGCGATCAAATTATTTGAAATCTACCCAGTCAATATGTTTTATAGTCTTGATAAACTTCATTTACTCATTCCATCATCTATATTGAAAAAACGGATTATCTGTTTCAAATAAATACTTTGCTCTGTATTTGTTATTTTTAAAATGACAAACTTTCATTTTCAACTTCAACATTTCTATAATAGTGATCAGTTATATAAATTACGTCATTTGTTATTTTTCATTGTGTTTAATTTAATCTTACGATCTTTACAAATTCAGTGCATAAGATATATTTTTAATTATCTGATAGTCGATAATAATCAATCGACTCTTCATTTGGGATTTTAATCCAAGATCCACAGTTTTGCGCGAGAACGCTTACTTCTAGACTGATACAGTACACAATATTGTCTCCAATGGATAATTGTGATATGCTCATCAACTGACATGTTTAAAACTACTACGTGTTCACCTTAGTCGATAAACGAGAGCCAAAACAAACGAGCCATGGACACGATAGACTATTCTGATTCGATTGTCCTCGGCCCTGCACCCAGAGAATATGGGGTTTTGAAGCATGCATATCGAGTTTATTTAGAAACGTCCTTGGGAGAGTCACAAAAATAGCGTACTAAATTAATACGTCAACCAATGACAGTCAAGGAAATGCGATCTCAAGGTCAACTGATCAGCCTATGCGCGAAATCACCAAAATCCAAAATTAGGACGTTTATCAAATGAGTTCTGTGGATCTAACATCCCCAACAAACTGTTTCATACACGACTTCCCAATGAACAAACAATAACATTTAGGAAATACGAATGAATACCTTAAGTGAAAATGTCTGACTAGATAATTCATAATGCATACATTATCTCAGTATGATAATAATGATAATAATTCTACAATAAAAAGTATATAATAAACAGAATTTATATGTTATAATAAAAAGAACAACTTATTTATTATCTTAAACAATTTGAAATGACATATTAAACTGTCCATAATTTTTCATACTTACTTTTCAACTGATCAACTGATTTACTTGTCAAACCGGCATCAAACGATTGTTGAGATTTATTTTTTTGATACTGAACAGATGAAGATTGATCTTCGTTTCCATGAAGAGAATGTGATTGGGCCTGATTTGTTTTCAACAAAAACATAGATTAAATATCATAGTTTGATTATGATATGATCTAATTATTATTTAATAAAAAGAAGAATATTTCTTAAGTTATCTAATGATAACTGTCAATTAGACTGAAATCCAAGTAGAGTAAATAACCGCAAATATTGTCGTGCCTGCATTTAATTATCAACAATAAAACTTTTCGTATTTTTATTTCAGACTGTACATTCATTTTTTGCACTTTCTAGTTTTCCTGATGACATTAGGAGCAATGATGTTAGTAATCATAGTTATCACAATAAATAAGTCATTAAACGTAGAAAAAAAGAATGCTGTCACTTACAATTTATGTCAAAAATATAAACTCATAAAACCACATGATTTTGATTAGTCATGTTTACGACATGAAGGCACACCGTCATAAAATAACTGATTACAAAACCACCTATTTACTGAAATTAGTATTATTACTAACATAATAAGAATATAAAATTTCTTAGGTGACATATATTTGTATAGTTTAAACTCTGTACAAGATCCTTAATCTAAGACCTACGGTAATAAGTGAACTCCTATGTATCCACAAAATCTCTACAAACCAAAGTACATTTCGTCAAAAGAAGACAAATGAAATATTATCATAAAGATAAGTTGTATCAATGAGGAGGAACGATGCACTGGTGATAAAACCATCCTCTTCGTTTTGGTTTGTGTAAGCAAAATAATCTTCACTTGTGTTAATGGATGTAGATGATTGTTGACATGAACTACAGTGGATAAACTTTTAAATAGCGAGTTGACTTAACATGAAAAAAATCCAGGAATTCCCGTAAATTAACACCATAGTTACTCAGCAACCAATAAACATTTTCAGAGACCCAAGTCACGGACAAAAGTAATCAGAATAAAATTTTCAACTCCATATTTACTGACAACACCCAACTAAATTTCTTTCGAACTAAATAAGTTCATTATTTTAAGGTTTATGACAGATTTTTTGTTTAGAAATGAAAAAACGACCATATAAGTAAACTATCTATTTTAGATATATTGAGTGCCTTAAAAATACTTCACCTAAGCTACAAATTTTTGCTGGCATTGTCAATAAAATTTTATTCTCAAAATTAATAACAGTACATAAAAAACAGCTGATAAATTATCTTGCACTATTAAGGTTTAATACACGTTCAGGGTACCACCACAAATAAAAATATCTTACTATAACACAAAGAATTGCCCATTATCATAACTAGTGTATTCACTGATTTGATATTTTCTGATTATATATTTACATATTTCTAAATATATTTCTATAAACCAAATGAAATTTCTGTAAGAAAAGATGAATCTCTACAATATTAAAAAATGTGCATTTTCAGGAGTCTAAATTTCTGTTTGGTTCAACCCTTCCTCCAGTAGTAGATAAGATATTGTAAAGCCTCTTTACTTTGTGTTCATTCATAATGACACTGAATAGAATTAATCAGTAATGGGTTTGATTTTACACTGTGCTTGAAGAATGTCGCAATTTTTTATTATCAAAGAAAAAATTGCTTAAATGGTGTTTTTGTTATACAATTTGCTTCTAACAGTTTATATATATTTCGTTTTACTAACAACATATTTGTTTTCATAAGAGACTAAGTGACTTTTATATCCAAATAACGAGCCATACAGAATAATCTGCACTGTTGTTAAACAACATTTTGTTATATTCTGTGTATTGAGACTATTAGTAGAACACTTAGTTTCAACTATCACGGTTTACTACGCAGAGACAAACGATTAAAAGATATGAATTACATTTTTAAGTCTTGTCAGTACTCTCGATCACAATGTTTATACAACATAAACAAAATGGATATTTTGTCATGTTATCAAAGCATACTTCGATCGGCTATGTGTATGCTTAGTAAAATGACTCTAGTGAAAGTAATTAGACAGTGAGAAATCGTCCAATCTCTAAATTTTATATAACATATAGTATTTAATGAGATAGTAATCATAACATTTTATCAATAACATATCAGAATAATACTAAAAAATATGTTTGTAGATTAGTGTAACTCACCAACGAATAAAACAAAACGACCACTGGAATCGGTGAAAATATATCATATACTAACAAACTTATGCAAAATTTAACATAACCCAAAAAAAAATTTAACCCTCTACCTTCAATGAATACAGCCTATCTAAATAAAGAATCTTTTGTTCAGAGATGAATATAAAGTAACTGTTTAGAATGATTTTAAGTAGTTTATGTGATTTTAGAAAGACATTTTCACCTCAAAGACATTCATAAGCAATAAGTTTCTTTTCAGGCCATGAATACATTGATAAATGACTTCGTTTAGTATGGAAAAACTTCCTGAAACACTTAAGAAATTCACGTAATGAAGAGCGATTGGATTATTCATGAAGGCAAACATTTCCTTATTTTTTTTAAAAAAAAATAATTTGTATGAAATAAGAATGTCTATTATTCAATCTATTGATAATGATATGTTTGATTGATAGTTTATTTTGAATGAGAAAAAAAAGTAGTAAACCTTTGAAATTCTTTCTTCACATTAGATCGTTTTTGTTTCATGATGAGACAATGAACTATTTCTTATCAATCACAAACTATTCGATCATTAAATAAAAACATAACTCTATAGAGAGATGCTAGTTGACATTAGATTTTGAATTTCACGCAAAAAATTTCAAAGTTATTATACTGCTTTGATAGTTGAACATAAAAACCCTGATAGAAAAAAACAATGAACAGTGAATTCATTGATTGATTAATTAGAACTTTTTATTCACTTATATCTGTTTAGTCGGTTCTCATAATTAGTCCATGATGTAATCATTTTTCTTAAAGCTAACATTTGAAAATAATAATGTTTTGCATAGTATTTCTCTTGTATCTTCAAAAGAGCAAATGTTCAACCTGTACATGATAATGTTAAGAGATATTGAAAAGCACGTTTATTATACAAAATATTTTTGTAGATATAAACCTAATAACTGTCAAAATCAACTTTAACAAGGGAAGTGAAATGTCTAATTAAATTTGAAATAGTTTTAAGTATCCTGTTGTTATTATTTTGACTGAAATCTGATCATTCTAGATTGATATATAGACATCAATATAGCCATTATGTTAAATCATATTTCAGTCAAATTGTCAACAATGAAATAATCCAAACCATTTTAAATTTAGTTAAATTTTATACCCGTTGCACAATTGTGTGACTATATCTGAACTAAGTAGCTAAGTGGATAACGAAATAGCGTTTAAACAGCAAGGTAATGGTTTCGAGTTCTAGAGCAAACATTAACTCTAACATGACGAGTCCCAAATTGGAATAAACATGAGTCCTGTGTTCCACTGCTAGTAACCATCCGTCTATGCTTTAACACTTTTCTATTCAGTTTAAATTCCTATAATCTTCATTATCAACTGAGATTATCGATATCAATGATCGATGATCAACCGATTGATGTTCTGATTTAAACTGATTTCATTCAGCGGTATTAGTAGAAAACGCAGATGAAGATGCATCCAGCTGATCAGCTTCAAATAAGACGAAAGCTATGTCCTGGATTCCATTGTTTGCCACATTCTATCCATTCTATACCATTAAAATATCATTTCTCATATTTTTCATATCTAATATTAGAACAAAGAGTAGACTCTAGGCAGCTAATCGTATTAATGTAAAGGAAAGATATTTTACGCTTATACATTGAAATATTAAATTGAATTATGGATTTAGATTAAATAAAAATTTTTCGGTATGAAAGTAGATAAATAAGTTCCATGAAATTTACATTACTGCGTATATGTAATACTACTGATTTTTTTTTCAAAAGGTATTTGCTTCGTCAGGAAGAATTTCATAGTAATGGTAGCTTCCAGAACTGATTAATCGATTATTATTGCGTACAAACGTATTGTATAATTATTTAGTAACTATATTATATATATATATATATATATATATATATATATATATAATTGTATTTTCTCATCTCATGGTGTAATGTGGTCTGGCAATGTTCGGTTTATAAACCATGTCTTATTGAAATAAGACTAAACTGTGTTCAAACTGGCTTACGGACTTCTGGACTAATAACAGGGTAGAGAGAATCAGCTTTCAAGTTGTGAATCAATAAGGATTGAGTGCTGAATCTCAGTTTCTGGTGCTAACGTAACTCTGATCGGTGTTTTGCATTTTGTCACGTGATATTGAATAACGGCTAGGGATAGAAAAGATGCCATAATCTGAACCAACGAATATACTATCTTCATCTCGTTAATATAGTATCCTGCGTTGACTACGTGATTTGCTGTAATTTCATGCACCATCACTGAGACTGAACGTTGTATTTCATACTAAATGGTTACATACTAAGTGACAGTGAACACCTATCTACTGATTAATTTAAAAACTAGGATTTACTGATCATCTGTTAGAACAAATGAAGTGCGAATAAGGATATTAATAATTTTTGTCATACTGAACAGAATCTTTACGAAATATTTACAGGTTCTGTAAATCTCTTAGGCATTAAACATTTTTTCACGTAGGTCTTAACAGCTTCAGAAATAAGACAAGCTGATAACTCCACCATCAATAATGTAAAGCTATATTCTAGCTAACAAAACTCATCACAACATTGATCTCACTTAAATAATCGGTGAAAAGGAGAGGGCAGTGAGTAACTGTGTAATCATAGCATGAGACCCATCAGGGAAATTCTTTATAAGTACTTGACTGAATAATTTGTCACGTTAAAAAGTCATCGTTTTCTAGATCAAATTTTTTTTGTCATGAATCACGATGTGTTCTGCGTAAATATTGATCCTATTGAAAACCTACAAGTATTTAATGGTGAGAATTGTCTTTGCGAATTTCCTGTTTCAAAAATTACTTATCAAACCGAAGAAATTTTACTCAAAACAAGGAGAAATTTTATTAATAAGCACTTAACAAAAAAGCATATATTATGCCTTGA